CCCAATACAACCCATTTGGTCTTTTTCTTTTCTTTATCAACATTATCATCTTCATCTGTTGAACAATTGACCATTTGACACATGCATTCTTTTTAGTGCTTACTTTCTTTTACTTACTTTCTTTAGAAAGTGCATGGACCTAAACCTCTCAAATCAAACATCTCTTCTAACGGGGAATAAAACGCCAACTCAATTGGATTTCAAAGAAGACTTCTGCTCAAAACATTAATTGTTTATCTCTTGATTTTCCTCCCCCACCTCCCCCCACCCCTTCTTTCCTTAAGGGAAAAGGACACGTATCCTTGAAAAAGTCACGTCGTGCACCGCCCTTTCTTTTGTGTCAATAGCAGAATTAACGAATCGGTGCACGGAAAAGTTCTCAGCCTCGTGTTCCAATCTGACTGCCCCATTTTTCTTTCCTATGGAACAGAAGAATGCATTATTGAGTTTCTTTGCGTCATTTTCTCGAACACTTCATACGCCAACCACCATTCACAATGCGTTTTATAATACTTATTAGTGCCAATTTTGAGTGGATCAACTGCAACTTCGCGTTAACTTTCCACTCATCAGTTTCCACTACTGTTTTTAGATAAAATGTTTGTGCATGCATATGTTCATGCACGATGAGATTTTATAAATTTATTAAAAAAAAGGAAAAAAAAAAAAAAAAAAAGAGTGGAAGGAATAAAAGACTTCACTTCCCACAACAAAAATCCATGAAATTCTCTCGAGCATATGCAATTCATTCTGCATCAATTATCAAGATCACGACCAAATTCCAGCACAAAATTAATTTTTGTTCTGAAACTCGACGATCGGAATGAGAAGAAATGAAAAGGTTTCTGAAGGTTGTTATGATTATTTCATTACTTCTAAGCATATATATGGTTCTGTTACATGATTTTGATAATTACATGATATTGATAAACAACACTGATGGCGTTATCCATATTTTACATTCTTAAAAAGTGAAACAAAATCTTTACATTGAAACTAAATAAGAACTATCACTGATACGTTTTTCCTCAACTTCTCAAGGACATTATCTCCAAAGCCTCTCTTTTTTGTCCAAGAATGTTGAAAACGGTTGCTGCAATATGAGATGGTGTGAGACCAGCTTGGACTACCTGCTCAGCTGGTGATCCATGGTCAATGTATTGATCAGGAAGAATGATAGGCCTCCACTGGAAAAGAAGATTCAAAACGAGAAATTAAGATGAGTCTTGAGAACCGTTTTACTTTAAGCTTTCAGGTGAGAGTTAAAGAATAGTAATACCTTCACTGTGCCATCAAGAAGACCATGAAGAGCAAGGAACTGTGCTACATGAGAACCAAAGCCCCCAATTGATCCTTCCTCCACTGTTATCAGAACCTCATGTGATTTTGCCAGTTTTCGGATGAGACCCTGATCCAGTGGTTTACAGAATCTTGCATCTGCAACCGTCAATCTTAATCCACTTGATTCAACTAGAGAGGCAGCAGCTAAACAGCTCTGAACTGCTGTTCCATAGCCTAATAGTGCCACTCTCTCCCCTTCTATCAATACCCTTCCTTTTCCAATCTGTAGGAAGGAAAATTCAATGAGTACTTTAACTTGTTGTAAGTAGGAGCATGTAGAGAGACTTGGTTGAAGCTCACCTCGAGAGGGATGCCTTTGTTTCCAGTTGGCAGCTGAACGCCAATACCATTTCCTCTTGGGTAACGGAAACAGCTGGGGCGGTCATTTATTGCAGCAGCAGTGGCAACCATGTGAAAAAGCTCTGCCTCATCAGAAGGAGCCATCACCACCATGTTGGGGAGGCACGCCATGAAGGTGACATCAAACGATCCACAATGTGTTGGACCGTCAGCACCAACCAAACCAGCCCTGTCCATTGCAAATCTTACAGGTAGCTTCTGCAAATCAACATCATGCACCACCTGTTGCAGCAAACTGACCTCATTTAGATAGTTTAACTTGATGAATAGATTTGACCTCTAGTTATCTATCAAAGAGCAGGAACATATAAACCAAGGAAGAAGTATAGGAAGCCATATTAGCTTGCCTGGTCATAAGCCCTCTGCATGAAAGATGAGTAGATTGCACAAAAAGGTTTAAGGCCTTCGCAGGCCAGACCGGCAGCAAAAGTAACAGCATGTTGTTCGGCTATCCCAACATCAAAACACCTTGTTGGGAAGCGGCGCAGGAAGAGATTCAATCCTGTTCCACCTCCCATTGCAGCATGGATGGCAACAATATCTTTGTCTGCCTCTGCTTCTGCAATCAAAGCCTCTGCAAAATACGTGGTGTAAGACTGGGTGGTTGCACTGGTTTTGAACTGCTTTCCAGTAGCTGGATCAAACTTTGCCACTCCTGAGAAAATCAAGCCAAGAGCGATTTATTCTTTTCCATTCCTTTTTTAAATAGTACATAATGAGATATGAGAAAGAAGTAATCTGAATATTCTGCCATTGTTAGCATTAGGGATCTATTCCTCCAATCCTCCTCTAGCCCATGATTGAAACTACCAAATACAAATAAGTCTAAAATATTTGTTTGTGTTAATGTGTACTTACCATGGTATTTGTCTGCAGCTCTCTCTGCATATGGATAACCTCGGCCTTTCTCAGTGACAACATGGATCAAGACAGGACCTGTTGTTTTGGTACTCTTAACCTCTTTCAGAATGGCGATTAGATCATCTATGTTGTGACCATCAACAGGACCAATATAGTACAACCCAAGCTCTTCGAAAAGTGTTGATCCAGAGCCACTTATCATACCACGAGCATATTCATCCACCTTTGCAGCCAGTTCATGCATAGGCCCACCAATCCGCTTGGTAACTCCCTAAAACATTCTCAGTGGATAAAAGCCAGTTCAGTTTCAATTGGTTTTCACTTTTCCAGAAAGACACATTATTTTCTATAACTCCCTAACCTTGGCAACCTCTCTTAGTTCTCTAAGAGGCCTGTTTGACTGCAGCCTACTTAGAGCACTGCTCAAAGCACCCACAGGTGGTGTTGGTCCATCTAGGGTAGCAGTTGGTAGAGAAACCTGTTTGTTGTCATTAAGAATAACAATCATGTCAGAATCCAGGTACCCAGCATTGTTCATAGCTTCATAAGCTTGCCCTGCTGTCATGGCACCATCACCTATAACAGCAACTACATGGGTTTTTCTTCCTTTTAGATCCCTCCCCACAGCCATTCCTGCACACCAAAAATGTCAGAACAAGTATGCCTGAAAAACTGAAATTGAACTACTAGGATTTGGATCTGGGAGCGTATTAGGACATAGGATGAATAAAGCTTGCATAGCTAACCTAATTATTCCAAAAGCAAAGAAAGAAAGATGTCAACCTTTCTTTTATTCCTATAACATAATTACAATTCATTCTTCATAGTATTCATGAGTTTGAGTAAGAATAAATTAAATTGTTGACTTTAGGAGGCATTTATTAATATACCTGCTTTTGAAGGCACTAAGAAGACTAGAAATTAAAACTTTCTTGGAAAGGAAAGGTTCAGATTAGGTATTTGTCCAATACTGAAAACATTCATTATGTTATAAACCAGAATGGAAAAAACAGATTATTACCCAAGCCTGCAGAGATACTGGTTGAACTATGACCGGTGCCAAAACAATCGAATTCGCTTTCTGATCTTTTAGTGAATCCTGAGAGTCCATTTGTCTGCCTTATTGTATGCATCTTATCTCTTCTTCCAGTCAAGATCTTATGAGGGTAAGACTGCAAAAATTAATTTAAAAAGTCATTCCAAAACTGAAAGCCAATTACCACCCCAAGTCTAGTATTACAAACCTCAAAGAGAATGAAGCAGCTTAAAGAGATTAAAAATGAACCTGATGACCAACATCCCACAATATCTTGTCCTGAGGAGCATTGAAGACATAATGGAGGGCCACAGTGAGCTCAACGACACCAAGGCTTGAGCCTAAGTGACCCCCCGTTTTTGAAACATTAAAGATCACATCAGAACGCAACTCTTCAGCTAGTTGTTTGAGCTCCTGTGTCAATAACAACTAGGCAGTTTATAACAAGTTCCACATGAAGAAAAGAAGGTCTTACGGTTCATATACAAACAGCAGAGTGGATGCTTACCTTGACAGACAGATTTTTCATGTGAATTGGATAGTTTATGGTATCCAATAGAGGTGTTGGAGGTCTCAGAGAGTGATATTCACCTTGCTCTGATAGTGATGCACGAACCCCACTTGACCTTTTCCTAATCTGTGCCTAAAAACAAGGAAACAACCCATGTCTTTCAATAATCTTTACATTAAAACTGAAACCAGAAAACAACTGAATTCCAATCAAAACTGAACCAGCAGCATGCATGTACTCAACTCAGTAATAACTTCAAATATATTAAGACTTCAAGTTCCACAAAAATGAACAAAACCCAGATTTCATTTTCAGTAGTAGAACAAGTGAGCTTCATTGTGACAAAAAGGAAAACACATACAATACATAAATATATTACCCACCTGATTTATCTTGTGCAGAGATTGGCAAAGTAGATCTGCTCCAGAAAACAAATGGGAAGACAAAGGAGAGAGCCTGAGGGGATCTGAAGCAGCGGCTGCTGCTGCTGCTGAGGAAGGAAATGAAAATGCAGACAGAGCCATGGCACTTGTATACAAGAAAACCAACTAACAACTTCTTAAACAAAGAATGAACCCCGAATATAAAAAACAACCCACAAAGCAAAGAGTACAACAAGATAAAAAGATGTTGTTTTGTGGGTCTGCGGGTATGTCGGCCTGTACTTTCCACTGTGCTTAGTGGGAGTCCTGGTGGAGGAAGAAGTTGGGGTGTTTTTTTAGGGGAAGAGATCAAGATGAATCACAAAAACCCAAAATACAAACGCGTTTATGTATTATGGAGGCAGAAGTGCTCAGATATGGATCAAATGAATGCAAAGTTTAAGTCTTTGATTTCATTCTTTATATAGTATATTGTAGAGCAGGGTCTGCAGAGCGGTTTGTGGGTAAAAACGCAGTTTAGCAGCTCCGCTTATGAAGATTAAAGTTGTTAATTCCTCTTCTTATATTATATTATGATATTTTTAATTATTTATTTTATTAAATTTATAAATTTTACTTTCTCACCTATTAAAATAAAAAAAACAATCCTCACTTTAAATTGACGGTTAATCTTATTAGTTGAAAGTAATTTTTTATCAATTAATAATTAA